AAGGGTAGGTATTAAGTCTGCTTTAAATGTCTGGTAGAATTCCCCAGGGAAGCCGTCTGGTCTAGGACTCTTATTTGTTGGGAGATTTTTGACGACTGATTCAATTTCTTCACTAGTTATGAGTCTGTTCAAATTTTCTATTTCGTCATGTTTGAGTTTTGGAAGCATGTGGGTGTTTAGGAATTTGTCCATTTCTTCCAGGTTGTCCAGTTTGTTGGCATATAATTTTTCATAGTATTCCCTGATAATTGCTTGTATTTCTGAGGGATTGGTTGTAATAAATCCATTTTCATTTGTGATTTTATCTATTTGGGTCCTCTCTCTTTTCTTTTTGAGAAGCCTGGCTAGAGGTTTATCAATTTGGTTTATTTTTTAAAAAAAACCCAACTCTTGGTTTCATTGATCTTTCCTACTGGGTTTTTGTTTTGTTTTGTTTTGTTTTGTTTTTGTATTCTATATTGTTTATTTCTGCTCTGATCTTTATTATTTCTCTTCTTCTGCTGGGTTTGGGGTGTCTTTGCTGTTCTGCTTCTAGTTCCTTTAGGTGTGCTGTTAGATTTTGTATTTGGGATTTTTCTTGTTTCTTGAGATAGGCCTGGATTGCAATGTACTTTCCTCTTAGGACTACCTTTGCTGCATCCCAAAGTGTTTGGATTGTTGTAGTTTCATTTTCATTTGTTTCCATACATCTTTTAATTTCTTCTCTAATTAACTGGTTGACCCATTTGTTCTTTAGTATGATGTTCCTTAACCTCCATGCTTTTGGAGGTTTTCCAGACTTTTTCCTGTGGTTGATTTCAAGTTTCATAGCATTGTGGTCTGAAAGTGGGCATGGTGTGATCTCAATTCTTTTATATTTATTGAGGGCTGTTTTGTGACCCAGTATGTGATCTTGGAGAATGTTCCATGTGCACTCAAGAATCAAGTATATTCTACTGTTTTGGGATGTAGAGTTCTAAATATATCTGTCAAGTCCATCTGGTCCAATGTATCATTCAGGGCCATTGTTTCTTTACTGATTCTGTGTCTAGATGATCTGTCCATTGTTGTAAGTGGAGTATTAAAGTCCCCTGCAATTACCACATTCTTATCAATAAGGTAGCTTATGGTTGTGATTGTTTTATATATTTGGGGGCTTCCATATTCAGCACATAGACATTTATACTTGTTAGCTCTTCCTGATGGCTAGACCCTGTAATTATTATATATGCCCTTCTCCATCTCTTGTTACAGCCTTTAGTTTAAAGTCCAGTTTGTCTGATATAAGTATGGCTACTCCAGCTTTCTTTTGACTTCCAGTAGCATGATAGTTCTCCATCCCCTCACCTTCAATCTGAAAGTGTCCTCAGGTCTGAAATGAGTCTCTTGTAGATAGCAAATAGATGGGTCTTGTTTTTTTTTTTTTTTTTTTTAATCCATTCTTATACCCTATGTCTTTTGATTGGAGCATTTAGTCCATTTACATTCAGTGTTATTATTGAAAGGTATGGGTTTAGAGTCATTGTGGTGTCTGTAGGTTTCATGCTTGTAGTGATGACTCTGGTATTTTGTGGTCCTTGCAACATTTTACTCACAGAGTCCCCCTTAGGATCTCTTATAGGGCTGGTTTAGTGGTGATGAATTCCTTCAGTTTCTGTTTGTTTGGGAAAACCTTTATCTCTACTTCTATTCTGAATGACAAGCTTGCTAGATAATGGATTCTTGGCTGCATATTTTTCCTATTCATCATATTGAAGATTTCCTGCCATTCCTTTCTGGCCTGCCAAGTTTCAGTAGATAGGTCTGCTACTACTCTTGTGCTTCCACCTTTGTATGTTAAAGACCATTTATCTCTAGCTGCTTTCAGAATTCTCTCTTTACCCTTGTATTTTGTCAGTTTCATTATGATAGGTCATGCAGAAGATCGATTCAAGTTACATCTGAAAGGAGTGCTCTGTGCCTCTTGGATTTCAATGTCTGTTTCCTTCCCCAGATTGGAGAAGTTCCCAGCTATGATTTGTTCAAGTACACCTTCAGCCCCCTTCTCTTTCTCTTCTTCTTCTGGGATTCCTATGATACGGATATTGTTCCGTTTGATTGCATCCCTTAGTTCTCTAATTCTCCACTCTTGATCCTGGATTTTTTTATCTTTCTTTTTCTCAGCTTCCTCTTTTTCCATAATTTTATCTTCTAATTCACCTATTCTCCCCCCCCGCCTCTTCAGTCATACTGTGGCCACCTCCATTTTATTTTGCACCTCATTTATAGCATTGTTTAATTCATCATGACTATTTTTTAGTTCCTTGTTTTCTGCATTAATAGCTTCTCTGCTGTCTTCTATGCCTTTTCAAGCCCAATGATAAATCTCATGACTATTATTCTAAATTCTTGCTCAGTTATATTGCTTATATCTGTTTTGATCAATTCTTTAGCTGTCACTTCTTCCTAGAATTTCTTTGGGGAGGAATTCTCCCATTTCATCATTTTTTCTAGTTTTCTGTCCCTTATAAGTTTTGAAATCTTGTTATGTGCTCTGCACCTGTGAGCACTGCTATATTAAAGGTGGGGGGGATCATACACACTCCAGGGCCTGGCCCTTCAGGAGGTGTTTTTTGGAGAGTGTTACTTGCTCTCTGTTGTTGTGACTTTTGTTATTTTATTTCTTTACTCATAGTGATGTTTTGGACCCTCCACCAGGTGTACTTTGATTTGTTCCTTGAAGTAGCCCTGGAAAGGAAAACAAACAGACAAACAAACAAGAAACAAAGACACGCAAACACACATACAAATAAAACAAACGGACAAAACACACACACACAAACACACACACACACACACACACACACACACACACACACAAACAAAAACAGTACAAAAGCAAAGAAACAGAAACACCAGATTCAAGTAAAGAACAGGGTGGAGGCATTGCTGGGGGAAGAGCATATACAAAGAGAGAAATGACGGGCAGGGACAAAGAGAAAGTAAACATGGCCAGGGCAGAGAGACTAAATGGCTTAATCCAGAGAGAGAGAGAAAGGAAAATAAAGGAGGCAGGGGCAAAAAATGAAGATAATGTTACCTAGACAGAGAAACTATTTGGCTTGATTATTCCAGAGAGAGAGAAAGGAAAGTACAGAAGGAGATGTAGAACCTGTATCAAGGGAATAGATTAAATATGTCTGCTTAAACAAACAAACAACCAGAGTAACCAGACTAGAGGAGGGAAGAGATAGGAAGGGAGAATATATCTAAATAACAAGAATTGTCCTGGAATTAATTCAGGCTATGCAGCATCACTGGTCTGTATGACACAGCCGTCTGGTTGCACAGCATCTATCGGGCTCCCACAGAAACGCAGTTACCCTGCACGGAGGGGCGTGGTTTGGTGTAGGCTGGTCCCATCTCCACAATGGGCCCTGGGACTGATCCCTGAGGCCCCGCCTTGGTGTTGGTTGGGTGTGGGGGCGGGGGGTTGGCGATCCCCAAGTCTCTTCTCCACGACCTGCTGGACTCCTTTCCAGTCGTCCTCACTGTGCTGCGGGTGCAGACAGGGCAGTCCTTCTCGCTCCACCGACTCTCTTGGCCTGGCGCTTGGCCAGGATTCAAAGTCCCACTCTGTGTGCTCTAGCACTGGGGAAGCACCTCTCTGTGGCTCGATTTGTGGTCCTTGCTGGCTTTCTCAGTGCTGCCGCATTTCAGGGAGGACCGCCTTTTCCTGATGCGGACTGCGCCACTGACCTCGCTGCTGAGCCCCGGGGGTGGCGGAGTGGTGGACTCAGGCAGGCTTTGTCTTTTTCCACAGCACTCCAGGGGGCAGGCCGCATTCTCCTGTGGACTGCGCCCCTGATCTGCCACCGAACCCAGGGCTGGCTCCTGTCCTCCCCAGGTGCATGAACAGGGAACCGGCCCCTCCATAGTTAGAGATGGGATCCTTCTCAGTCCCAGACTTAGGTTTTCCTCTTTTCCAGATACAGTCCTACACTTCCCCAGCCACTCTTTCTCTTCCCTTTGTCTCTCCGCAGAAGGGGATCCCTCCCCTCTATGTCTACGTGGCCACTTTTATCTCTCCCAGTTTGCTATCACCCACCTACCTATGACTTCTCAAGTTGTTTCGTTTCTTCCTGGTAGATCAGTCTCTTTTCCTCCCAGACTTTTGGGGTTCAAAGTCCTTTGGCTTCAGCACTTCTTTGTTTGAGAGACGCGGGAAGTACCCGTCTGCCATGTTGGCCCCTATCCACATTTCCACATACTAATGAAGATGTATTTAAAGTGCAAGTATAGTAAATTATCAGGGATTTAAAAAATTCTATTATAATTGCATGGAAGAAAGACCCCAAAGATTTAACCCTGACCATACTGTGTTATGTTGGAAGCGGTCTTCCAAGAAGTTCCTTATGGATGATGTTATAGTACAGGAGGCTGCGTTTGGTAAACAGGCTTAACGTATCTCTAAAACATGTATGCTGTTTATTTCTTGGCTCCAGGTAGATATGCTCCTTTTACCTATGGTGCAAATGATTTCTTTTGTCTGTGTAATGTGTAACGATGAAAGTAACAGAAGATAATGCATTGTTTGTTGCAGCTGTTTTCATGCCCATACAAATAAGAAAGGACACACAATGCAGAGCAACGGGTCCTGAGAAATATTCTAGTAATAGTGACTCTAAGTGAAAGAAATAATTGCATTTAAAATATTTCTTTAGATTTACCTAAAATGCAATCTGAAGACTTCTAATCTTATCATAAACTGAAGGCAATTATTTTATGTACCTTTCCACATTTGAAAATTCCTTTACCATTATTTCCATCATCTATGCTGAAGTAATTAAGGTTGAAACATGAATAAAAATCCTCTCATGGTGGAAGCATATCAGAACCTACATGGGCTGGGGCTGAGAAATGAGGTTCAATGACAATAATGTTGCTGCCTTATAAGGTACCTCCAATGTCAGTGTTTATTCACTCTGATCTACTTATTATTTATTTTGCTATTTTCCTTTTTATCTTTTATGCATATTTAGTGTCCAGATCCATCATGCAAACAAGATTTGTTGGCCTACTTGGAACAGATTAAGTTTTACTCTCACCAACTGAAAATCTGCAGTCAAGTTAAAGCTGAGATCCAGAACTTAGGAGGAGAGCTCATCATGTCAGCTGTGAGTATTGCCTGGCATTTTAACCATCACATATAGAAGATGCTTGAAACAAAGCAGCTACACCCCTCCTCACTTCACCAAATCTTTTAGGTCCATGTAAATGAGAATAAACTCAGTTGGAGTGTATTAAATTGCATGAAATTAAATTAGCAAGGAATTGAACTACAGAAATGCTATGTCAGCACAACTTGTCTTTATTTACAGATTTTTAGAATGAATCAGGATTTGTAAGCCACTTGGAAAAGAAATAGATATTAATTTAGAGAGAGGTTTTCTGACTTCAGAAAGTGTGCAGGTGAAACTCTGAATTGAATCTTATAATTTTTATAAGATAAATGCCTATGGATTTGCAAATCAATGAAAAAATGGCTTTATTACTATTAATTGGTATTCATTTCCCGATTAATCATTTCCATAGCATAGAAATTCAGGCCTTGAAAACTGTTATTTCTATATCTAATTGTAGGAGTGGGGCATGATAGAATATATATAGATTTGGAAAAACTTTCATAAATTCTTTGGTGACCCTGAGTTTCAAACCACTATAAAATGACCATGTTAGAAATAATGTCTAACTTTTCTACTCATCTTTTAATAACAGTAGATCATTTCTCTAGAGTGGGTATGGTAATAAAATAATATTTGATATCTATAATAGTTTCAGTTATCAGTGACTTTGAGAAGGACATGGACCAAGATTGTAAATTTAAGTTAAAGTGAAGCATCATGAATGTTCTAGGAACTTATATTCATGAGGACAAATGATAACAGCATACTTATAAATTTGTAATTTTAGGACTTCTAAGTTCTGACATTGGACTTTCCCTCAGTGAACCAACATGCTTTAAAAGAACATTACTGCAAAAACAAAAGCAAAAGGTTACCATCAAGAGTAGAAGGCAGGGAACTAATTTTTATTGACTATCTAGCTCTTGCCTATATTTCATTCCATTTGACCCTCACGATTGCATGCCGGAGAGATTATTTATTTGCTTGTTTTATTCTCACTAACACTGGAAAAAAATGACATTCAGAAAAGTCGAAAACTTCCCCGAGGTCATACTGGTAAATGTCAGAACTGGAGTTTACCTTCAAAGGCTTGTGTCTTTTCTATTCAGGTGGACAGACTGGAATCTACGATGACACTGATTAAAAGCACTGATTAAAAGTGGATAATTTGGAAATTGTGTCTAGTAATTATTAGAGACAAAAAGTATTTCATTGCATTGCAATTTTGTAAAGACACAAACCATCACAACCTGTGTAACACTGGTGCCCTGACACTTTTCAACAAAATGTATTTTAAGTAGTCACAGTCTGTATACACAGAGACCTATGTGGGTGTATGAATACACACATGCATATAAATGCACATATACACGTATATTCATGCATATACATATATACAAATTTTAATATATTGTATCTTTACTTTGGAATATTAGACATTGTCTTCATTTTCTCATTTAACATTAAACTACTTTAATGTGTAAAATATTATTTATTTGTAGACCTAAGTCTGTCTTCTATTTACTTTGTCTATTTTACACAGCCACACATTCACCATCATTTGCAAATCCTGAATCCATATGAATGTTATTTTCCCATTATTTACTACTTCTGCAGGCTGTTGAAACTAACCTTTCACCCCCAAAAATGCTGTTAAAATATGTTACTCTTAATTGTTCTTTCAAAATATAATTTCCTCCATATGTACAAATGGGTTTGTATTTCCTGTTTGGTACCATGATTCAAATTCATGAATTTACCCGTATTTTCAGATAGATTAGGCACAAGTTTACAATTCATGATTTACAATTTAAAAGCTGAGTCATTACATAAAATAAGGAATAGCATTGCAAATCCAAAAGCATTTTGTCATCATTTTGCCTACAATTTCCATTTAGAAAAGATAAATCTGGATAAAAGAAACATTACGTGCCCCCTTTTATATACCTTACAGCCATCTGCTTGCAGGTAGATCCTGGAAAGCATTTTAAATACATTTCATTTACATGTTCCTGGGAACACTTGCTTTAATCTCTTAGTGACCCTGAGTTCTTGTCATCTTTCCTTTTTAAATTGAGAGGAGGCTCTAATCTATGTCATCCTTTTTCTCTGAAATCTTTTGGAAAGTAACAAGCATGATTGCAAAGCAGACAAACTCATTAAACATTACAGGAATTTGTTATTCAAAACTAGATTATCCAAAGTTCACTAAATAAAGTTTGCATTTCAAAATCAGGTTCATGAAACATTAATGTAGAAAATATAATTGATTAAAAGCAAGTAGGTAGAGTGCTTTCTGGGTCTGGGGTGTTAGGGGTTAGGATAAAGAAGATGAATCCATAGCATAAAGGAATGTGAAGCTCATTCTCATAATAGACCATTTAGTTAAAATGATTTTCTGGCTAATCTTACATCTGTCTGCAAGCAGTTATTCTGAAGTTACATGTTTTATTTAGAAGGAAGCCAAAGTGTAGCTAGTCCAAAACCCCAACTATATTTGAGCATCTCTGTGTTCCGTGTTATAGAATATCTGGAGGAAAGATAGATGAATACAGGATGCCTCCTTTAAGATTAAATACATGCAAAATGAGAATACACAAATCATACCTATATATACAAAAATGACTCTAAAACAATATAATAACCTACATAATAGCAGTATGCACAAAAGCAGATAGTAAGAGGTGAGGGAATAATGAACTGCACTGAGGTGGCAGATGGGCAAGAGAAAGACTCATACCTGGCTTGACTCTAATTTAGGCCTCAACGAATAAGTAGAAAACAAATGTATACTCACGGGAGGGAGAGGAAGAGCATTCAAGGTAGATGGCATAAATGAAATAAAAAGATACGAACTGGGAAAGAGAAGGAGTCTATGGAAATAGCCGACCGTCTGATTCGACTGGAAATATTTGTTTTTGGCACTGTTGGTGGGGAATAGAAGAGATGCTGCAAACAGAATAGGGACTATTTAAAAAGGGTCATTTATAACATTTTAATTTTACCCTGCAGGAAATTGAGAATAATTGAAAATTTTTAAGTTTGAGATGCACATAAGCAGATCTACATATTTGGAAATTAACTATTTTTGAAAAGGTGGTAATAGATGGAGAGACAAAGAGCTGGGACAGAGAGGAGTAGTTAGGAATGATTTTTAATTTTTTAATTTTTTAAGTTTATTTATTTATCTTGAGAATAGAGCGAGTGAGCACATGCACATGCATGCTGGGGATGGGCCAAGAGACAGGGAGAGAGAGAGAATCCCAAGCAGGCTCTACACTGTCAGCACAAAAGCCCAAAGTGAGGCTTGAATTCACAAACCCTGAGATAAAAGATCTGAGTGGTAAGTCAGAGTCACACCCGCCTTGACTAGACACCCAGGTGCCCCACAGAATGGTTTTTTTTTTAAGTAGTAAATTCCAAGAAGAATAGTAGTACATGACCTCAAAAGAAAGCAAAAGAAAAACACACACGGATTAGGGGCCTGTGTCAGTGGCATGGTCAGTCAGGAAAGAACAAACCTCAAAACACCTCTGAACTCAGGCAGCTCACTCAAAATATCAGATCATCATCTCATCTATATCAAACCTCAGGAACAATCGTCTGTCGTGAACAGGCTCAAGCATCAGCATGGCATGGCATCGCGACATTCAGTCCCAGTCAATCTGAACTTGTTAATCCAGGGCATGAACCACAGGAGGGGCGGGCTACCTCAGAAGACAATGTCCCACAGTGAAAAGAACCAGACCTGCCTGCCCAGTGTGTTCTGCAATCTCTATGGACAACAGGCACTCAGATAAACTCCGGGTGCACAAAAAACTGCAGTTCTCAGGACTGCAGATCTGTCCTCAAGTTCAGTGCAGCCCATGGGTAAAGGAGCCACCAGAAAGAATAGCTAAAAGTCCGCACATGCCACCCAAGATCACCTGGACATGATGAAGACTTTTAGCTTCAATTTATTTTATTTTATTTTATTTTAATTTTATTTTATTTTATTTATTTATTTTTTTTTAATTTTCCCACACACACAGAAAAGAGTGAAGTAAAGCTGAGGAGGAGACACAGAAAGGAGAAGAGAATCTTAAATAGGCTGTGCCTTATCAGAACAGGGGGGATTTGATCTTCCAGCTCATCATTACACACAGGATAGACCAAAGTCCCAAAAATTCGGTCACTTAAATATCACTGACCACCCAAATTGCCCAAGTTCAACTACTATCTCTCCTCCAGCCTGGATTGATTTACCCTCTCATAGAGTGTGAGGGTTTTGTTTAGGAGTGACTGGAACTTTTCCGGGAATACTCACAGTAGTCATGTGGGGTTGAATCCCTATAGCATGGCTGCTCATTTGTCTGATAAATTTGGGTGCCATGGCTGTTGGTAGATGTGAGTCCAGGATTTTGGTTACTATCCAAGGAATTAAGCACAGACCCATTTGTGGGTTTCAGGTGAAATACCTTCTTTTTTACCCAGAAGGAGGTCCATTTGAAAAGCTCTGCAAATAAAACTAAAGTGAGTGTTCAGTATCTTACATACTTAAGAAAAGAATGTTTCATTCAATCTTTTGAATGAGGGTGCTTAAGCTTCATTTTGTAATAAAGACTTATATAGCACATATAGGTGCTCCCCTATAAATGAATGTCCCAGCCAAAAATGTGTAATTGCTTTTGCTCACCATGATGTCATTACGTAATAAAAGTATTTTTTGACAAAAAAAAAAAAAAAAAAAGATGAACTCCTGGATTAGGCGATGATGGATAAAATGGAGAGGAGTGAGGGGAAGCCTGGTGGCGCCGGTTAGTTAGCGTCGACTGAAGCCAGGTCACACACACACGATCACCGCCAGTCCGTGAGTTCGAGCCCAGCATCGAGCTCTGGCTGATCAGCTCCAGAGCCCTGGAACCTGTTCCCATTCTGTGTCCTCCCTCTCTCTGCCTCTCTTGCCCCCTACCCCGTTCAGTAACTCTGTCTCTCTCTGTCCAAAAATAAAA